GAAACTGTTGCACAAGAAAATCCAAAAGCAGTGGCCATCTCGCTGATAGTGTGACCTATTCTTCTTGCTCCAACAATATGTCTATGATCAAATGGCAATAAATCCTTTGCACTGCCCATTGTTACTCTAACAAAACAAGCAAGTATTGTACCTATAGTGCAAATGTTCTAGCTGAAAGGTTGCAAAAGGGAAAGCTGCAAATGTACCAGCTTCCTCTGTAGGTAGAAGGTAACAATATTGCATGTGCTACCATCTTTAATTTTTTGACACTTCAGTTTATAAAAATCATGTATTTCTTAGTAAAATATAAAATAATTTTTATTTGTACATCAAAGAGAGCAAACAGTATACAGCTTCACACTTAAAAGTTTTATTTTATTCATAATAATATTCAAATTGATTATTAATAATACCCCATTATCATCAATATACTTTTAAACCTGATTTTGCTTTTGAAATACAACAAAACATACTGTGTTAATTCAAAGTAATGTCGACTTGAAGCTGTACAGATCCCAGGTACAGCACATAGGGTTTTCCATGTAATATGACCTTGTTAAATCAAAACTGTTGGTACTTGTTTTAATTCAAACCTATTTTTCTGTGTACTGTTCATTCTTTAATTTCATTCTGTGATTGTGATCCTCATTTTCTCTTATATTTTGTTGAACACAGATGTTTAAAATAAACACTATAGTTCCATGCCACAAACAACATGTCATTACAACTTCACATCATCATTTTTACTGATACAGTATGTTACTGGTGTTCTGATTGGACACAAGGGGGCATTCTGACAATACTCAAAAATGTCACGAACTTTATATACTTTTGTAATTGTTCTGTGAACAGATTCTTGAGAAATGGCTTGATAACAGGAAATTTATGTCCATAGAAAAATCTGAGAAACTTCAGTATTAAACTCTAACTTGAAACTCTAACTCAAAGTCAGGATTTTTCTACCCTTTAAACTTTGACTTAACAGTTTTACTGTATCTTGTTATGATTTAATACCAAAATATCAAAGACAATTAAGATGAATAAAATTTGACTTCAAAATACAGATTGATTTACTCAAGACTCAACACTTATCATGTGAAATAGCCAGGGCTGTGGAGTTGCGTAAAAATCTACAGACTCCAACTCTTCCTTACCATCTGACTCCGACCAGGGGTGGACTTGTTACCGAAAGAGACCTGGAAATTCTGATGTCATCACGTGACCTCAGAATAAAAGATTCAATAAATAGAGTTCTAATAAAGATAGAGCGTAGAAACTTTTTATTCCAAAGCTAAAAGACTTCTCTAAGTAATATATAAATATGTATTCGATAATTTTTACTTTTCCAGCTGTTATATATAACAGAGGAAAAGCGTAGCGCTCGCTCAAAAAAATGACCCCTCCCAAATTTTTACATTTTTGAACTCAGGAAACCTTGAAATTTCGAGATATGCAAAAGATTCGAGGTTTTTTCTATATGTGTGGATGTTAGACTGTGTGAGGGGGCATGATTTTTTCACCCTGTTTGAAGCCTAATGATTTCTGTGGTCAGAGTGGTCAGAATCGAAGTCAGATGGTTTAACACAGGAGTTAGTTATTAAGCGTTAAAGTGGTTGAACTAAATCGTGTCCCCATACACATTCTAACATCTTAGGCGAGCCCTAACATCTTAACGGGTTTTACTGTACTATTATAAAATGGCTAAAAAGCTTACTTTGAGGGTAGAGACGAGTTTTATTTTATTTTTTTTAAATTTTGAATGCTAATAACAAGTAAAATATTCATTAAGACATATGACCACTTTTAGGTCTTCACCTTGTCGACCTTTAATTAAGAATAAAAATTTAATAGTATTAATGCCCCTTTATACGCAAGCCACAGTGCCACATTTCGTTTCTTAAACTTTACTCATTCTGAGATATTGTTTAATATCTCAGAACAGAAAATAAAGAAATTAAACAAATTAGACGTCAACATACACGCGTATGTGAATTTTTCCCCTTTTATTGACTTTTTTTGAGGAATTCAGGAGGTCTCCAAACATGTAGATTTGCAAAAAAAACTTGGAGGGTCAAATTTGACACGATTCCAATACTTTTCCATTTTATATACATAACAAGTTGGTAAGTAAAAAGGAGTCGGAGTCGGCAGATTTTTTGACGACTCCGGCTAAAACACCAAAACTCCGACTCCACAGCCCTGGAAATAGCTCAATATAAAATGAAAAGATGAGCATGAAACACGAACGGAACAATTCTTTATTTTATGATGAAACAGTCAACCTGGTATCAATATGTTTCACATTACATGTTATTCAATTGTGAATGTGTGATTGTAAGATATTGAACAAAGTAAATGTTCACTTGAAGTCTGATGTGATTTGGTGTCAAGTTGCCTTTTGCTGTGTGGGTACTAACCTGGTTAGCCAATAGCAGTCATATTCTTGCATCAGCTATGGGCACCCATACTGTGCACTTGCTGCTGATGTCTGTCCGAAATTTAAGTATGCATGGTAAACTCTTGAAACTGTTGCACAAGAAAATCCAAAAGCAGTGGCCATCTCGCTGATAGTGTGACCTATTCTTCTTGCTCCAACAATATGTCTATGATCAAATGGCAATAAATCCTTTGCACTGCCCATTGTTACTCTAACAAAACAAGCAAGTATTGTACCTATAGTGTCAAATGCAAATGTTCTAGCTGAAAGGTTGCAAAAGGGAAAGCTGCAAATGTACCAGCTTCCTCTGTAGGTAGAAGGTAACAATATTGCATGTGCTACCATCTTTAATTTTTTGACACTTCAGTTTATAAAAATCATGTATTTCTTAGTAAAATATAAAATAATTTTTATTTGTACATCAAAGAGAGCAAACAGTATACAGCTTCACACTTAAAAGTTTTATTTTATTCATAATAATATTCAAATTGATTATTAATAATACCCCATTATCATCAATATACTTTTAAACCTGATTTTGCTTTTGAAATACAACAAAACATACTGTGTTAATTCAAAGTAATGTCGACTTGAAGCTGTACAGATCCCAGGTACAGCACATAGGGTTTTCCATGTAATATGACCTTGTTAAATCAAAACTGTTGGTACTTGTTTTAATTCAAACCTATTTTTCTGTGTACTGTTCATTCTTTAATTTCATTCTGTGATTGTGATCCTCATTTTCTCTTATATTTTGTTGAACACAGATGTTTAAAATAAACACTATAGTTCCATGCCACAAACAACATGTCATTACAACTTCACATCATCATTTTTACTGATACAGTATGTTACTGGTGTTCTGATTGGACACAAGGGGGCATTCTGACAATACTCAAAAATGTCACGAACTTTATATACTTTTGTAATTGTTCTGTGAACAGATTCTTGAGAAATGGCTTGATAACAGGAAATTTATGTCCATAGAAAAATCTGAGAAACTTCAGTATTAAACTCTAACTTGAAACTCTAACTCAAAGTCAGGATTTTTCTACCCTTTAAACTTTGACTTAACAGTTTTACTGTATCTTGTTATGATTTAATACCAAAATATCAAAGACAATTAAGATGAATAAAATTTGACTTCAAAATACAGATTGATTTACTCAAGACTCAACACTTATCATGTGAAATAGCCAGGGCTGTGGAGTTGCGTAAAAATCTACAGACTCCAACTCTTCCTTACCATCTGACTCCGACCAGGGGTGGACTTGTTACCGAAAGAGACCTGGAAATTCTGATGTCATCACGTGACCTCAGAATAAAAGATTCAATAAATAGAGTTCTAATAAAGATAGAGCGTAGAAACTTTTTATTCCAAAGCTAAAAGACTTCTCTAAGTAATATATAAATATGTATTCGATAATTTTTACTTTTCCAGCTGTTATATATAACAGAGGAAAAGCGTAGCGCTCGCTCAAAAAAATGACCCCTCCCAAATTTTTACATTTTTGAACTCAGGAAACCTTGAAATTTCGAGATATGCAAAAGATTCGAGGTTTTTTCTATATGTGTGGATGTTAGACTGTGTGAGGGGGCATGATTTTTTCACCCTGTTTGAAGCCTAATGATTTCTGTGGTCAGAGTGGTCAGAATCGAAGTCAGATGGTTTAACACAGGAGTTAGTTATTAAGCGTTAAAGTGGTTGAACTAAATCGTGTCCCCATACACATTCTAACATCTTAGGCGAGCCCTAACATCTTAACGGGTTTTACTGTACTATTATAAAATGGCTAAAAAGCTTACTTTGAGGGTAGAGACGAGTTTTATTTTATTTTTTTTAAATTTTGAATGCTAATAACAAGTAAAATATTCATTAAGACATATGACCACTTTTAGGTCTTCACCTTGTCGACCTTTAATTAAGAATAAAAATTTAATAGTATTAATGCCCCTTTATACGCAAGCCACAGTGCCACATTTCGTTTCTTAAACTTTACTCATTCTGAGATATTGTTTAATATCTCAGAACAGAAAATAAAGAAATTAAACAAATTAGACGTCAACATACACGCGTATGTGAATTTTTCCCCTTTTATTGACTTTTTTTGAGGAATTCAGGAGGTCTCCAAACATGTAGATTTGCAAAAAAAACTTGGAGGGTCAAATTTGACACGATTCCAATACTTTTCCATTTTATATACATAACAAGTTGGTAAGTAAAAAGGAGTCGGAGTCGGCAGATTTTTTGACGACTCCGGCTAAAACACCAAAACTCCGACTCCACAGCCCTGGAAATAGCTCAATATAAAATGAAAAGATGAGCATGAAACACGAACGGAACAATTCTTTATTTTATGATGAAACAGTCAACCTGGTATCAATATGTTTCACATTACATGTTATTCAATTGTGAATGTGTGATTGTAAGATATTGAACAAAGTAAATGTTCAGTTCTAAGTAAATCACTTTGTATAAGCCATTCAATATTTATACTATTTGTTAAAACTAAATGAATCTAAAGAAAAAAAAAAATTTAAAAACATGATCAAATAATTTTACCTCAATATTGATAGCGTAAGTTGTGAATTGACCATTTTCCCAAGTATAATGCAGAATAGGATTTCCTACAGCAATCTTTATATAAATCTTGAAATATAAACAACTTTGTGTCATTACATAAATGAATATTCTTACAAATTCATATTCTTATCTATTTTTATATATTTTACAAAAGATCAAAAAAATAAATGACTAATTGTTTCTATTTTTAAAATTCTAATAATATTTTGAGCACATTATTTATATGATGCTAATACAGAAAGGGCAATGGAGATAGCAGCATACTCTTAATTATTAGTGAAACTTTTTATAACTAATTGTAACTTATCTCTTTTAGAATTACATTTGATTCAATTTTCTAGTATTCTCCACAGGACCTTTTGGATGGACCCAGCTGATTTTACAGATAGCTGGCTAGTTAATCTGGTAAATTGGCATGTAAAAATAATAATTTTATAAGCTGTAAAGCTCTGTTCACATCTGTGGAAAAATGATGCAGTAATTAAAATCAGAAATATTTTCAATATTTGTAGCACAGAAAGAGTCCAGAAAACTTAAAATATTTTAACTTGTGCTGTTTTAAGCAGAAATAGGAAATTGGTAGCCAATAGAAAATTAGGATTGTGATGTTTGTGTGGCAGACAAAATGAAATACTGATCATTTATAAGGAAACAAATATCACTATATTAGAAAGCCTATGGATAAAAACAATGTCCAAGAATAATTGCTAAATATTTACTAAGGAATATCTACAATGAGGACAAAACTACATTTTATTTTCCTTTAATGCTTCATCATACTTATATGTTTAAACATGAAAATTCTAAAGGATTTAAGTATATGAAGGAATGCATTATAGTTCTTTTCTGTGCTAATATAGCAAGGCCAAAAACAAACTTTCTAGTGATCAGAAAAAGTAAAAATCCTAAATGTTTTAAGTGTGTGAAACATTTATCAATGGATTACTGTTCAAATGCAAATTTTTGGATAACAACTGACATTTTTAATAAGTTGTATACTATAATTAGTTAAAATATTAAATACTGATTTGAACTTATTAAATCTGTAAGCTGGAACTATCATATAATAAAGAAAACTTGCATCTTTCTCACACTTTCCAGCAATAACTGTTTAATAAACAAACATTTTCGGCCACATTCAGGGGTCTGCATCAAAAGATAACGAAAGCCGATATGAAATCAAAAGTCATATTGGTGTTTGAGTCTTTGCATTAATGTTCTATTTGTTTGGCCTATATATATTAGATTTCTATCAAATCTGTTGTCATAAAGTGGTATGTCATCAGCATCTAATTATCCCTAAATTTATAAAGTGGCTGCATTTATGGCACTAATAAAAATAGCCTATATGCATTACTCTAACATCAAAAACACTATGTAAGAGTAAGAACACATAAGATGTATTGCAGTAGAGAATGGTTACAGTTGTAAATTGATACCTAAATTAATGCGTACCAATGAATGTAGGAACACAACTACAAACAAACACATAAATTTGTAGTTGACTATGACCCCAGATTGAGTACAACTTATAGAATCATAGCTAAACAATTAAATGCCATGATGTTGAAGGTTGACCAGAACAAGGCAAGACTTCCAATTCTCATTTAAATGCTTTGTACCACTCATATGCATGTGTTTTGGATAAAGCTAACTCATCGTAGGCCTTCTGCAACATTTTCAACAACTCAGCACAAGAAATTTTGTTGGAAACACAAAATTTTAGACAAACCCTTTGTTCAATATTTTTGACCATTTTAAAAATCAAAAAGCAAACTTCATGTTTGATGACAATACCAACAGTTGTAAATAAACTGGTTGACAGGTAGCAAAACAAATTCACATGACAATTAAGTACACTAGTATCAACTGACATCAAAAAGTTTGTTTTCATCTCTTTTACAGAGACTTTTGAAATGGACAATTCCTGGTATTCATTTGACAGAATGTATAAAATTAAATTGAATGATTTCAAATTCTTTGATTTTGTTCAGACTTGCAGCATACAACAGGGATTGATCTTAAGTGAACTTTTCTGTCTACATAAATCATTTACTTACAAGGGGACCTTACAGTCTTGGAAATTCAGTTCGGGATGAGACTTTGCAGGTTAGTAATATACCTCAAGGGTGTGCACCCAGAAGAATTGTAAAGCGCACTAGCCAGAAGATTCCGAGAAAAAGGGCTCTAAAGTTTTAAGTGCAGCTCATATACTGGTCGATTTTACACTATGACAGCACAGCAAAATGGCTGAGTCTGTAGTGAACTTGCTTGCCACGCATACAATCTAGATTCCATCCTACCTTCAGCTAACATTTTTTTAAATTGTTTTAAAAATTATAACAACTTTTAAATAAAGTTAATGACCTAAAAATATTATCAATTANTATGTCAAAGTTCGAGCATACAAGTTAGATCAAATATTTAGGTCTATTCACTAGGTCCTTTTTTTCAAATTTGTTTTCCACTTCTTTAATTTGTCGAATGATGAAACTTGGCAGATCCACTTATCTCTGTTGCCAATATAATTTTTAAAATTTCAGTTTTCCTCAACGTTTACTAATCATCTACGAGTCTTTGATGAATGTCGTTTTATAAAATCTAGTGTTAAAATTCAGCGCGTCTACTTCGTTTGTAATGCTAATGCTATTTTAAATTTCGTCTCCATTCGAACTTAAATTGCTGCTCTTCATCATCACTCTATTTATCAACTACGAATCTTTGATAAACAACTGATAAATAAATATAGTTCTTTTTCTGGATTTTTGATTTTAAGAATAGATAAGAAATAAATATTAACTTTCTGTCATATTTGTAAATATACATATACATAATTTTGGTACAAATATTTTTTTATAAATATTTTTATAAATAATACATTTGTAAATAATTTGTATTTTTAACTTTTTAGTGCAATAAAAGAAAAAAAATTGTACTTTTTCTTATATTAAAAAGTACAAAATAAATAGCAGTCATTTATTTAATTTTATTACAACTGTACTACTTACTATTAAGAAATTTATGTTGATAATATTATACTGATAATATATTATATAGATAATATAGATAATAAATATATATGTGCGTGTATGTGGGGCTATATTTAAGAAAAACTTGCTATAGAATGCCATAATATATCATATTATAATAATGTCCGNCATTCCTGGCTAACATTGTAGAAAAGGGATCTGGCTATCCTTGTAGTATATAGTCCTTGACTCCGACCAGGGGCGGACTTGTTACCGAAAGAGACTCGGAAATTCTGATGTCATCACGTGACCTCAGAATAAAAGATTCAATAAACAGAGTTCTAATAAAGATAGAGCGTAGAAACTTTTTATTTCAAAGCTAAAAGACTCCTCTAAGTAATAAGTAAATATGTATTCGATAATTTTTACTTTTCTGGCTGTTATATATAACAGAGGATATATAACAAAGTGTAGCGCTCGGTCAAAAAAATGACCCCTCCCAAATTTTTACATTTTTGGACTCAGAACATCTTGAAATTTCGAGTTAATTAAGCAAAAGATTCGAGGTTTTTTCTATATGTGTGGATGTTAGACTGTGTGGGAGGGCATAATTTTGTTCTCATCCTGTTTGAAGCCTAATAATTTCTCTGGTGAAAGTGGTCAGAATCGGAGTCAGATGGTTTAACACAGGAGTTAGTTATTAAGAGTCAAAGTGGTTGAACCAAATCGTGTCTCCATACACATTCTAAATCTTAGGCGAGAACATTTTAATGGTTTTACTGTACTGTTATAAAATGACAAAAAAAGCTTACTTTAAGGGTAGAGACGAGTTTTATTTTATATTTTTAAATTTTGAATGCTAATAACGAGTAAAATATTCATTAAGACATATGACACATGACCCCTTTTATGTCTTTACTCTGTCGACCTTTAATTAAGAACCAAAATTTAATCGTATTAATGCCCCTTTATATGCAAGCCGCAGTGCCACATTTCGTTTCTTAAACTTTACCCATTGACACGATTCCAATACTTTTCCGTTTTATATACATAACAAGTTGGTAATTAAAAAGGAGCCGAAGTCGGCGGATTTTTGTCGACTCCGACTCCACAGCCCTGATGTCTACAGAGAAAGAGGAATAAAAAAAAGAGAACAAGTCTGGGATTCCACATCTGTCCGCAACATGACCCACGAACGCAATTTAGGACGAGGTGGATAGTTACAATCATTCAAAACTCGATTGCTCTGCATGGATAAAGGTTTAATGTATCCATTTCTCACATATCATTATCAAACATCTTAGAAATTAAACTGCCCTGTAATACTCTCTGGGACACATTATTTCGTGGATACAATTACACCGAAATAATTACGTAAGTTTTGGTTCTTGCATGAGAGCTAGGCTCCAGAAAGTTGATGCAGGTGACGTTGATAAATTTTTAAATTCCATGATGAATAACTCAAATTAGTTGAACTCGAATACAAACGAAGATCCTCTGGTGAAGATAAATAGAAGAAAAGACCAAGAAAACATTGGGCACTGCTAAGACAAATGAAATTATGGACAATACAGACAAGATGATGAATATTGTTGCTGAATATAATCATGATATACTGTAGTAAGAATTACTTGAAAAATGCTACCACATATACTTTGGTACTGTACCCTTCAAGATGATGTACGATCTGCCGCGAGCGGTTAACGATTTTTCACTTTGCGACAGTTTTCAGGAACGAATTGAAATCGTTAAGCGAGGAGTAACTGTATTTGGTTAGCAAATTTATTCATATCGAAAAATCTGAATAAATCCCTGAAACCATTTACAAACTCAATTTTGACGTGAATTATCAAAAATTTTATGACTATTATACCTGAACAAGTACGAAAATTTATCATATTTTATCAATAATTACTTTTTAAAAATCTAGCAAAATATGAAACAAAGAAAAATACTGGACGCAAACCGAGATAGACAAACGCGTTGTGAAACGGTAAGAGGAGTCTTGAATGCCAATTCAAACATTGTTTGGAAGAAATAAAACTGACATCAGCTATTATTGTAACCAACAAACAAGACTACTGGAATTTGGACGAA